GAAATAGTACTTTTAAATGATTCCAAAATATATGAAAATAATGAAGAACAATAATTATACCGGGTGTTTTTCAAAACCCGCTCACCCCTATAACTTTTTTATTTTTCCAAATAAACAAATGAAATTTGTGTGTTTATTTATGACCCGGATGTTCATAATCTGACGTATTCAATTATTTATTATCACTTCCGGTTTGACCGGAAGTGACCGTAACTTTCTTATTTTAAATGAGACGCCAGGTATATTTTCCCTTATTTCAATAGAAAACTACATTACAAGTACAATGACACCTCATTTGTCACTTTTTGACATTCTATCTTCAAATTATTTAAATTTTTACTTTTCAATCTAGAGCGCCATGAATTAGTTAAAATGCTTAATTTTGCTCAAAGAAACCTGGGAAAATTTGTTTTGATCTTATTTTGTATTTTATATCCTCTACAGACTCATTAAAAAATAGTAGAAGTGCATTTTTGTAATTATCTCAATTTTTTCAAATGGAAAGGGTGTGGCTCATTACAATATTCCAAAAGAGCGTTTTCTAACGAGCAATTCAGTACCACACAATCACTAGTTTCTCACTCAAATGAAGAATTTTCCTAGCATTCTAAATATTTTTGGAAAATTTTAGTTCAATATTTGAATAAACTAGCGATTGTGTGGTACTAAATTGTTCGTTAGAAAATGCTCTCTCGGAATATGCTAATGAGCCATAACCTTTCCATTTGAAAAAATTGATATAATTCCAAAAAAGGGCTTCTATCTTCAAATGAGTCTGTTGAGGATATTAAATACAAAATAAGATCAGAACAAATTTTCCCAGATTCCTTGGAGCAAAATTAAGCATTTTAACTAATTCATGGCGCTCTAGATTGAAAAGTAAAAATTTAAATAATTTGGAAATGAAATGTCAAAAAGTGACAAATAAGGTGTCATTGTACTCGTAATGAAGTTTTCTATTGAAATAAGGGAAAATATACCTGGCTTCTCATTTAAAATAAGAAAGTTACGGTCACTTCCGGTGAAACCGGAAGTGATAATAAATAATTGAATACGTCAAATAATGCACATCCGGGTCATAAATAAACACACCAAATTTCATTTGTTTATTTGAAAAAATAAAAAAGTTATAGGGGTGAGCGGGTTTTGGTTGGCACATTTCAAATGTTACATCGTAGGTCGATCGAGAGTTCGCCACTGGTATTTTCCTATTTCTGACTACCCCCTCAACCTTTCCATGTTAGTGTGAATTCAATCCTATGTACAGTTTTTGAATAATCATACAGTTTTCTATCATACAGTTTTATTAGTGGTGCCGCGAGACGAGACTAGACGAGACTTAGGGTTGGTCTCGTCTCGTCTCGACATCTCGAGACGAGACCGTGACTTAGTCTCGGTCTCGAGTACCAAAGTCTCGTCTCGTCTCGAGTGGTCTCGTCTGGTCTCGAGTTATACAGGGTGTCCAAAAAATAGCGTAAAAACTCTTCTCTACGTGGTGGAGGACCCTACAAGGAACCCCAGAAAAATACTTAAAAAAATCTAGTGGCATTCTTAAGAAAGTTATTTGCATTTTAATATTTATTAAAATTGGCAACACTGAAAATATTCCGTTGACAATATGTCAGAGAATTAAATTAAATGCCCATGTAATTATCTGAAGAGTTCGAAGGTGAATTTTCACATCTACCTCTTTATATTACCAAAAATAATGCCGGAGAAGGATTTTTGAATTTAATTATTTTTCTAGGGTTTCTCAAAGAGTCCCCTACTACGTGGAGAGCTTTTACGCAATTTTTCGGACACCCTGTATTTATGATTTTTATTTTTATATTATAACGGAAGTCCAAACTGCCACACTGAAAAAGCAATTAGTGAAAAATCACAGTAAAGAGTAACCGTGATATTTAATTTACTGATTTCATATTCAAATAGCCCAGAATAGTCCAATAATAAAGCTACGAAAGAGAAATTTTAAGTGTAATCTCGAGACTCGAGAATACACGAGACTCTCGCCGAGTCTGGTCTCGTCTCGTCGAGACTTCACGAGACGAGGCCAAAAGCCAGTCTCGTCTCGAAAAGTCGAGACGAGATGAGACCAGTCTCGAGTCTCGCGGCATCACTAAGTTTTATATATTTCCGTGAGGTTCTCCTTTCGCAGATCGATCGAGTGTACGCCACTGGTATTTTCCTATCAACCTTTAGTAGTGCCTATGAACATTTTTGATTTTCCACTTAAGCTTTTGCATCCAATCCTATCATTGGGTAGTATACAAAGCTGATTTAGCGTAGGCTGTCAAAGATCAGGGAGACTATAAAATATTTGCTCTAAGTGATATTGAAGACCTAGAGGTGGTTGTAGAGCAACGCAATAACCTCTGACTTTAACGATAAGTACCTATACATTTTGAAAAAGTAATCTATCAGGAAGGTACTATGGTGAACTGAAGATCTCGCGAAATTTAGAGGACATATCAGGAAATAGTTGAAGGCCTATAATAAAGTCGCGTTGATAAAGTTCGACAAAGAGCTGAAGGGATCTTAGAGGACATGGAGAAGGAGAAATTAGATTAATGTTTCTGCGAAAAACCTTAGGTCTTTGAACTATGTAAAAAAATTCCGCCGATATATTGATGTTTTCTCTTACATAAAAACGGAACGAACAGTTTATCGCAGCCAAAAATCTTTATCATGCTAGTAGACTTTTCAGCACAGGAAACGTCCAGAGAGAATTGAGAGGAAGGTCTACTCACGGAGTCACGGGTCTTAACACTGATCCCGAAACTCCCAATTCTTACTACACTATTGTTGGTGCGTTGACTGGTAAATTGTCATCGACGGTTGATCCGTTGGCGTATCTGTGTGCAATTCATTCGTTCCCTACTTGCAGGAATGAGATCGTAGGTGCTCTGCGCGATGTAAAAAACAAAAAATCTTATGGGTAAGATCTCGGCAGGGAGACTGCTGAGCATTCCACCGTGTACCTTGGATGCGCTGGCCGAAGTCATTAATACCTCGTCGTGTTTTGCTTTTATATTTAAAGCGGTGACACAAATGACACAGTCTATTTTAACATGAATCAAAGGCAGGCTACGGCAGCAGTGTTTTGTGATCTATTCAAGGCTTTCGATTGTGTGAATCATGGAATACCGCTGTTTACGCTCCAACGTTATGGCGTTGGAGGAACGGCTTTGCCTCGGTTTGGTTCCGACCTTGCTGGACGTTGTCAATTGGTTGTGGCTCTTGAACAGTCTTCAAGTATGCTGATTGGTTGTGGAGTGCCTTAGGGTTCTGTTTTGAGGTCAGACATCGGGATGAGGGACTCATGTAGCCCCATTTCTTTTCACTGAGAATTTTAACTATGACCTTCCTTTTTGTGCTCGAGACCGTGATATTATTGTTGAAGAATCGTGCAGCCGTCGAGGGATTTTTTTCACAGCGAGAGACGCATCAGAAGACTTGCCTTTGCCAATTCCTACTCGTCAACTGACTAAGCCCTCTTTGATCTCTGAAAGCAGAAAGATTTTTAAACACTTGCCCACCCATCTTCGGACTACGTCGTCTATAAAAGTGTTTAGCCGATCATTAAGATTCACTGATTAGAAGGGCCTACTACGATCTGGGAGTTTTACGCGAATGCATTGTGACTTGCGTGTCCAACATGACTTGTTGTCTGTTGTCTTGTTTATCCACACCACCATTTTATATTTATTTTCACTATACTGAAAATACAATGGAATAGTTTAGGTTTTCTTTGTTAATGTTAAACCCATCAATCGTCTTCCAAAAGAGGTTCATGGGCTTCAGGAAAATCATTGATCACGTTACATTTAAATAACATTCCGTTGCAAGTTGAACGAATTATTAAATTATTAATTCGTACGTACAAGAAACCTAATTCCATGGAAGGTCAATGTCAACGACAGTTCACTGGTAATTATTGTAATTAGCGATCACGCGCCATGGTCACATGATTAATATAAAATAATGGTTTTTGGAAGATGAAGGGGTAGTCTACAGACCGAGAATGATCCGCGTTAGTTAGTCAGTAATGTTTGTGCCATTTAGTCCTGTGATAATTATTATTAGTGCCCATGCCCATATCTGAAATGTATTTGTGGTAAGCTTAATATTAAATACACTTCTTTATTTTTGTACTTGGCTCTAGTTTTCATTCTCACCCCCCTCATAATTCCCAGGTCGACAGATTTTTGTTTATTATTTGGGTAAATTTTGTAGGTTTGTTTTAGTCTAAATAGATAGGTATAATTTTTACAATTGTTTGGTTTTTAGCTAACATGCTTTGTCAATAAATATTACTCTGTTTTTTTTTTTTTTTGGCAATAAAGCATATTTAGATTGATTAGAGAGTACCCAAGAATGATCTACACCAGAATGAACTCTCTCAAGAAGCCCTCAAACTACAACCAATTCCCTTAAGTATAGTCTTGGTGGTTAAAATAAAGTTCGGTGGATATAAATGTGCCTGAACTTCGTCCAGTGGAGACTGGCAGGCCTCGATTGAAATGGACTATGAATACATTTGAAAGTCCTTAGAGAACTGTCCCATACTATTGGATAATCAGTAACTTTTTGACTAGCAGCCTGTGAAAATCAGACCGGTGCAAATACAATCAAATTATCTCAAAATCATTAAAGCTATCCACACTTTAGCTATTCTTCAAAAAGCGAATGCGTGTATATTTATCCATATTTTCTTTTATCGTGTGTCAAGCTCACATGTGAAGCATTTTTAAATGTTTCTATCCAAATCGTTTTGCACGCTAGCCATTTTACAACGCTGATGATAACAGCCACACCTTTTCCTAATAAATTTTATTCACAAACCATTCCAGCAAAGTTTCAATTCAAACCAAAAATTCAACTACAACAACAATAAAATGTTTTTTGTCCTTCTTCATCCCCTCCCATTCCCGACTGCATTCGCGGTGGATTCCTGTTTATAAAAAGCAGGATTCCTGCAGGAAGACTAGTCAGTGCGCGTTGGGGCCTTCGCGGCGACAGAATGCCACCGCCCCTATAAAGCCGGTTCAATTTTTTCTAAGGGTTTGACGCCCTCGTGGATTTCACGTAAATAAATAAATTCGATTAGGGTTCTCAAATTTTGTTGATTGGGTACTTTATAGTTTGCTCATCGCTGGTGAAATTTAAAAAAAAGGCAAGTGACTTTTTGAGAACATACTGCGGTTGAAGTGGAATTTGGGGCAACTTTTGTGATTGTGCTGGTTGGATTTTATTAGTGGTTTTGGAGGTTTGTGTTTTTTTTTTTTTTAATTCAGTCACAAGCTTTTAGAGAAAAAATATGAAATGTCTATCGTAGCCCAAAAAGCTATGAATAATTGAGGGTAGAGTTCTAGTTGTAAATTATTCCTAGAATAGAATAGCAGAAAAAGTTTATATCGATTGCACTAAAAGTTAATATGACAATATTTTACTGTTTGCCGTCGCATCGAAACGAAATCATCATTTAGGCAATAAAAGTTTGCGTTTGCAGGGCATACAAATCGTAATTGTAATTTGGTAATGTAAAATGTTTTGTATGTAATAATATTAAATAGAAACATAGAAAGCTTATATAAGTGATATACCTACAAATTTTGAACTGGTTTGCGAGCAACAAATACTAAAGATAGTTTTTTGGAAGCGATCTATGAACTCATAAAATGATTGCAGCTAGTTGCTATACTGTAATGTATATTGTGAAATGACCCATAGGTATATACTTTTGACAAGTAATATATTATTTCTAGGGTTCCTATTACTAATAAGGTATACGATGCAAACTATTTTTCTTTTCACATAATAAATATAATATGATATGTTTAGATATTTGTCAAATTGATTTTCACAAGTAGTTCCATATAAAAATATGATTCTACTTGAGTAAATAGTTTCACTTTTCTACAATAACGCAACGTGCGGTAACTAAGTCTTGTGAAGTTTACGGTTGAAAAAATACTAGATCGAACGAGATTTGTTAAAAGACTTACAAGATATTTAGAGCCGTGGATCATTATGGGTTCGGTATTTTATGTCGTTCTGTTAGTTTTGTAAATTACATAGGACGAGATAAAACATTCATTTTTTTTTTTCTTATGTTTCAATTTTAATTATTATACAAGATGCAATACAACTATAAAAAAAGAAATATACTAAATATAAAATAACAAAATATAAAATATAAAAACAAAACATCAAATATAAAAAATGTTCTCCAAACCAGATCCTACTGGAAGGGTCCCAAGCACTGACGCTGCATTTCCCCTTTGTACTGCTAGACTAATTTTTTGGGTAATGAAGCTAAATGCCTTTTTATGATTGATTTTCTGACAAATTTGTTCAATTAATCTTTTAGCTACATTACCCCAAGGTCCGAAAGTTTCCACAGCAAACGGAACAAAAAGAAAACCTCGGTCCTGCAGTTCTTTATATTTGTAATTGAACCATAGCTATAGTGGTGAATAGCAAATTTACTTGATAAAAAAAAACTATAGCTCTTGAAAATTATTTTAATAGAGAAATTTAACAATAATGTATTTATGATTATAATTAATTAAATTAGAAGAAATTAGATAAAGCTTTAATAGTAATTAAAGAAAATGTGCCTCGAGTTTGCATAAAAAATTTGAGGTGATTACCTGTTGGAAATAGGGTTTTGTTTGCCTCGAAAATAATCTGGAAGTCTGGATCCAGGTCTGGATTGGATATCCTGGAGTGAGTGAGATGTTACTCTACTCTTTAGGGCAGCTTTTCACTAATGATTAAATGGAAAAAGTCAGAATCTACTTGTGGGAAAAAAGGTGCACAGCAAGACTTACCGAAATGTTTGTTTTCAATTCCGATAACATCGGCGAAAATTATAGCACTTTACGAAAATTAAACACAACGCAAGGAAACTCAGTGTGCCATAAATTCAATTAAGAAGAAAATTAGGTCCAAAATCCCTTTTTAATGCGAAGAAAAAAAAAATTATATTCTTCAGGAGACCCTTTCTTCGAAGCAACCAGAACGTGAAAGAAATGTGCTACACATCAAATTAATTAGCTGACCTAAAGGTAGGGATTCAGAGATGATTCAGGATAACGACAAATGTCAAAAATTAATCGATAGAATTCTTACTTACCAAAAATTGCACACAACAATATAATCAGAGAAAAATGACAACGGCTGACGAATAATGATAATAACATCAAGGAATTATCCAATAGAACAATTATAATTTGAAGAGTACGATATGGAGTAAGTGATCCGTGCTGCAAGATTAAAGGGCTTAACAGGAATTGACGATTCCAAAAACATTACTAAACGACAGCCAGTTGACCAAAAATTAATGACACTTCAAAAGTCAAAAAAAAATAGAAAGCAAGGATAGCGCAGAACACATATCAAAGATTATGGAACCAACGATTGAACCGGGTTCCACTAGAACTGTACTGAGTTCAATAGCCGAACCGAGTAGTTCGGTACATAACTCCAAAAGAAATATTTTTGACAATTGAATATTTATTTGTTTATTATGAAATTCAGATTTTGAAATGGAATTAAAATATGGATTAAAATCGAGGAAAAATCTTTACATCACAGGAACTAGTAACAAATAAAAATAGATTTTGACTATTGAAAATCAGAAAACTTACAGGATCTGCAACTATTGTAATTATTGTTGGAATTTTATAGAGGATAAGGTAAACAAAATTAAAGGAATTTTATATAGAAAACTGAAAAACAAGCATGAAATAGTTAGGCAATTTTGGCTCGTTACAAGTTAATGACTCCAGTATTGTGCGGTTGGGCCATTCCACCTGTCCGTTACTTCTCGGAAAAGCTATCGCGTTCTTCACGTGCTTTATACTATGCTTGTCACAAAAGAATTTGAAACGCTTTATCGGTCTGTATTACCTCTTTGGGGAGTGTGTACCAATTTGATCAGCTTTTCTATGGTTTCGCGTACTAGCTGGCTAGTAGTGCTAGGGAGCGGCTCAGACCAAACAAATTTTGTAAAGCCATCAATTATGACTAGCAACTGCGTATTTCTATTCCGACTCTTGCAGAAAGGTCTCACATGATCCAAATGGAGGGTGTGGTATGGTTCTGCGACTTTGTTGGTAGGATATAATCTTTCCCGGCGTCTACCAGTAGGTTTCTCCGACGCCATACACTCACATATTTCTTTATAAAGGCTCGCAGTTCTGTGAACCAATATGTCTTCTTGATGGCATCTATAGTTCTCTTCACACCTGGATCTCCATTCTCGTCAGGGAACATTTTGGTGACTCGCCAGCGGACGTTTCTTGAAATTTAAATTTTGGGTTCATTCATGAGGCGACATACCTTATGGTCCTCGACCATGTAACAACTTTCGGCTTCACAATTTTGGATCTGTGTCTATACCAGTTGAAGATCTTCGTCTAATGCCTGCTACTACACAATAATCTGTTTTTAGAGTGTTTACCATAACAGGATTACGGCTTAACGCATCGACGTGAACTATTTTGCTGCCAGGTCGATGTTCGATGGAGAAGTCGTAATCCTGCATCACCATCCACCATCTGGCAATGCGGGGAGTGAGATCGCGCTGTGCCCAAGTCAGTCAAACGGCGTTACAGTCGATAAATATGCCGAAGTGACGACCATGAAGAATGTTACGGAACTTCTTAATAGTTTCCACTACTGCTAACGTTTCAAGCTCGTAGCTGTGGTATTTTTCTTCGCAGTTGTTCGTATGTCTACTCATGTAGGCGACCGGTTTTCAGTTTCCATCAGGTTGCTTTTGAAATAAGGCACCAGCCAAACCAACTTGGCTAGCATCACAATGTACCTGAATATCACATTTCTCGTTGAGAATTGCCAGTAGAGGACCAGAAACTAATTCGCTTTTGAGTAGCTCGAATGCTTTCTGTTTGTCTGTCTAATGCCAAGAAGTAATCTATTTCAATAAATCAGTCAAAGGTTTAGCTTTAATCGCAAATTCTTTAATGTATTTCCTGAAATATGATGCCAAACCAAAGAATTGACGCACCTGGTGAACGTTGCTGGGAATAGGAAACTTTTTCACGGGTTCAAGCTTCCTAGGAGATGGTTTCAATACGCCATCGCAAATTTTTGTACCCAAATACTCGATGGAACTTTTGAGGAACTCACATTTCTTGCTATATAACGTAAGGCCAGCTGCACTTGATATGTTTAAACCCACATCCAGTCGTTCTATGCCTTCATCCACCGTTTTTGACATAATTAGAGCATCGATCAGGAAAACCAACGCAAATTGATGACGTGACGGGCCTAAAACCTGGTTTGTAGCGAGCTGAAAGACAGCAGGCGCATTGGACATACTGAAAGAAACTCTGGTATACTGCTTATGGTTGTCAGGTGTTATAAACGCTGTATATTTGCGACTTTCTTGGTCTACTTCAAGCTGATGGTAGCCCGACTTGAGATCGAGTGAAATAAATAATTTATTGTCGGCTAACCTTTCCAACTGGTCCAGTGTTGCTTTGTAAGCTTGGAGTATATGGTTTTAGAGGTGTGACTCTAAATTGGTTTCAGACGTACTTGAGTGATTGTCAGCAGATAGGTAGTTAAATGTAGGAGCGGGTTTTCAGATAAAATGAGCAAAAACTGGGGTGTGCCTTAGTGCTCTATGACTCGGCCTAGGGTCGCAGTAGGGCGATTTTTAAAAACGAGCTATCTATGGCTAAGCAATATGGAGCCGGGTTACAAGTTGGATGGGTGACAGTGTGGCGACCGATATAGCTGAGTTTTAGGTCGGTTTTCGCCACTTCGCATCGGTGAAGCGTCGATCGACCGTCCAACTTGCAGAATGAATGAGGAGGAGTAGGGCATGTGCAAGGATACACAATAAGCCTTAGGGTGCAGTGCAGGGCCGGTATTCTCGTTCTCGAAAACGCTCACCACTTTTTAGTCGCTCGGCACTTTCAATGTGAATTTACATTAAAAGTGCCGAGCGACTGAAAAGCGGTGAGCGTTTTCAAGAACGAAAATATCGGCCCTGAGCATATGCCTAAAAGAATGAACAAATCTAATCTAATCTGATCCAATCTAGTGCCTTGGCACCCTTTTGTTTTTGATCTCTATTAATGATCTAGCCTCTCTTAGATCGGGGGAAGGATAAGACTTTTCGCTGACGACACGTCCACTGTTTGGCTTGCGAATAGTGGAAAATACTTGGACTGCATGATTAATGTCGATTTAGATTTAATAAAAGACTGATGCGACAGCAACAATCCATCCTTCAACATACATCCAAGACCAATATGTTAAACTTCAAGTGCTCATTATCCAACATATCCTTATGTGGTCACGGCTGCCGCTAGAGTGTTAGTCGCCTGTGTGCCCGGACAATTTTTGCCGTCCCACTCTTCTCAGTACAACATTGAGAGCGTTGGAATACAATTTTTAGACTTCAAGAATTACCGTATGAGTCGTGGTAAAGACGAAGGAAGGACTATGCAAAAAGTAGACGCGCATCTGTACTGACGTCACAAGGGCATCGGCGCTTGACAGTAATAGGCAACCCTGCTTTGGATTGCGAGCAACAGTGTATTAAATTTCTATTCCAATTTTGCTACAAAATCTCTTAAATTCAGTGGACGAGTACTCACCACCATTGTCACATCTCAATCATGCGATCCGAGTACCAAACTTTGCTTCAACTTGGGGCACATATTCTGTAAACTTATTGATAACCTCACTCTTTTCCGACATCAAGTAAATCATTCCAAAATGCGAGAAATGGTCAATGGAGCTCACATAATACGACTTTCCATCGTGTGTTGGGGGATTTATTGGTCCACAAACGTCCGTTGACACTACTTCTAAGATACGTTTTGGCTTTCTTCCATTTGGTATTCTTTCAAAGGGCCGTCTTGTTTCTCTGCCCTGAAGACAGACTTCACAAACACTAGGTGCAGGAAACTTGCATGAATGCCTCATTCGTCTATGCTGAAGCAACATTTCATTTGATGTTAAATGTGTTTTTGCTGTTTCAGTGCAATTACATAGGGATTTCCACATAGATCGCCTTTCAAAACCATTTTTCTATTTTTAATTATCTGTGCTTGCTTATCTGTGAACAGGACTTGATAACCATTTTTTTCAAGTTTTTGCACTGACAGAAGATTATGAAACAGATTATTACATACCCATACATTTTTTATTAAAACATTTTGGTAATTGTCAATTTTCAATTTCAGATTCTCTTTCTTTGTTGTTTGCATAGTCGCCCCTTGTTTTGCAACTTTTATTGAGTATGAGACTTCCTGCGCATTAACTAAAAACTGTCCAATGCCGTCATCTACCAGATGAATCGTTGCACCACTATCTATTATGAATTTGATCTCTCTACTGTTGCACTGGATTGCACATGATTCATTCCTTATTTGTGAGATATCTTCACTTGCACCCTCTGTTAGAAATGTTATTCCATCACCTGTGACTGTGACTACCATCAATACTTTTTTCAGCTACATGCACTTTTCCATTGCCAGCCTTACTAAACTTATGGAATTCATACTTCATGTGACCCTCGACTCCACAGTTATCAAAAATTTGAATGGAAGTGGCCTCCTTTCGTAATTTCCTGATGAATTTCCTAAATAATTTTCTCCAGAATGTCCTCCTCTTCTCTGACAATTTTTTTTTTAAATCCTGCAAATGCTGCCTGGTCAGTGCTTGATTCACCTTTTTTTATTTTTTTTCTTGTTTCTTAAAGCAGCAATTTTCTTATTACAAAATCTAAAGTGACTTTTGATTCGTCTTGGCAAAACATGACATCTTTTGCTGTGACAACTGCTTGATATGACTCTGGCTTGCTGATAGTAGCTATGAGACTACTTCACTGCTCTCAATTTTTCCGCTAGCCGTTCTCAATTCACAGACTGTTTGTTCGAAGGTAGTTAAAAAATTATTTAAGGGGGTTTCTGCCAAAAACTTTAGCGCTCGAAGTTTCTTTTGTAGCATAACTTGAGTTGAAATGCCTTCCATAATGTATGTGTTGCTCAAAGTTTCTAGGATTTCTTTAGTTGTCGGTTTTGTCTTTATCAATTCCAGCATATTGTCTGCTAAGCATTGTATATTTTGGGTTCTCACGTCGTCTTTCTTCCATGTTTTCAGTTCCTTCTCTTTTGCAGCCACATCAGGCGCTAAGGGATTAACAATAGGGGGATCTGTTGTCAAAACGTAGAGCACTCCAGCTTGCAAGGGCTAACTTAACCCTAAATTCCCAGTTAGAAAAGCCTGTGCCGTTGAAGGGCGTTACATTTATATGCTCTTCTTGAATGTCTGCCGCAGTGAATCTCACTGCCATGTCTTACACAATACTAAGCATTCACTTTACTTTTCAGTTTCTACTAACAGCCAACAGTATTTACCATACAGTTGGAAGATATTTCAGCTCTGGAACCACTGGATATCCTAAGATTCCTTAAGGACCTAGGACTGGAGGGGCTGCTTTGAGCAGGAAGCCCTGACCTGGCAGCAGAAGGAGGGGTACAATAGATCTACCAGGTCGCGGTGCAACTGACAACTATGGCTGGACCCATAACCTATGGGAGTTTGAGCAATATGGTGGACAAAAGTTGACTGCGATTTGTAATAATCCTAATTAATTATAAACTCAAAGTAGACTTCTTGCTTTCTAGTGAAAACAACAAAAACAACAACTGAGGAGTCAAAAGCTAAACATGTGTTATATGTCAACTGTCAAAAATTAATTTTTGACAGATGGAGGATTTCAAAACTTATCGTAAAACACAAAAATCCTTATTGATACATCCATGTTTGGTTTTATGTATTGTTGCGTTCACAAATATGGCAATAACAACAGTCTTTCGTTTAGTTTTCTAAGAAACCCTTTAATAATCTACCATTTAGGGTTAGGTCTTCATGTTCGTTCAGGAGATTTAAGAAGGGGGTAAGGGATTTATCCTTGACTGAAGCTCACTGTTGAAGAATTCTTTGCTGACACCGCGTGAGCATATTTTTAACGTATATAAAATTTTAAATTGTTCAATTCACATAAATTATCATTTCGTTTTTCCATTTTCCGTGTTCTACAATAAAATCTCATTTGTCAAACATTCTAAGCAAAAAAGAGTCTATTTCCCAGGAAACTCAATTAGTTCCTAATAATATCGCGTGGTCTTTTCAGTCCCTCGATAAAAATAACAAAAAAGCAAGTGGCAAAACAACTGTTGTTTTGAAACAAAGCTCGTTATTTTAATGCGGATAAGATTGAAAATTTTACTGCCGCATTGCAATTATTAAGTTATTATGTTGCTCATGTATATTCTGTTTAGTTTGTAGAATAACCAAAACAACACATTCAAATTAGGAATGATAATCGGTGTTTCTCAACCAGTTGTCACAAAAGAACTAACCCCGTTAAATGAAAACTGATATCGACCGTCTGCATAATATGCAAAATGTGTATAGGAGAAATTCCCGGCCTCGTCAACTCGTAATTATAGACATGAGAGCTATATTTGGTATACGTTTACAAGAGCTTTTAAGCCCCAATAATAGCAAACAAAACAGTAAATCAACCGCTTGTCTAAAAACAAAAACCAGTTTCATGGAACGGCAAACACAGAACAAAGAGAGATATCAAAAGCGGTTTTGATCTCTAAATTTGTTTGTTTTGTCCATTATATTGATAGCGTGAAGATTAATAGTAAATATAAACCACTTTTATCTATTGAATTTTTCAAGTGTGTACTCAGGAAATTTCTGTTAGCAATATAACCAAACCGCTATTTGATTTTCGAAACTGAATAAACCGATTTTAGTGTTAATATATTACAATGGTGGCGGAATAATGGAATAATAGATATAGTTCAACACATTATTCCAACCACTAAATGTTTCCAAATTTACAATTTAGCTTTTGTGCACAACAACGACAATAGAATCAATTAGCTTAACACAATAACATACCTATGAACGTGAATTAAAAATTAAAACTTGATTTCAGCTCTAAAAATGAACAATGAAGAAAAAACACAATCTGCCAGTGGACTACCTAAGGAAATCGCCATCCTCCTGGCCTATATACAGCCTCGTAGGCACTGTGGCTGTTGCGTGTTACTTGAACGGTATCGACGGTGATTTTGTACACGATGACATTCCAGCAGTGACTTTGAACAAAGACGTGTTGGCAGTGAACACTGTGAAAAGTGTTTTCGAAAATGATTTTTGGGGTACACCGATGGCTGATGAGAATAGTCATAAAAGTTATAGGCCTTTGACTATTTTGACTTTCAGGTAAGGATAAGTATATAGTATTTGAATATTTATTATTTTTCAAATTGGAATTTGATGTATTTTGAAACTGGTTTGGAAGCAAAACATTTTGAACAAAAATATTGAAATAATTTCACTCAAAATTCAATTAAATTTTCAATAATGTTTCATAGTCAATTTACTTCACATTATAGTCATTGCAATAAATTTCTACGTGTACTTACAATTTTTCCTTAATTTCACTAAATTATTCTAACAAAATAAATCATTTGAGCACGCACTTATTGTAGAACGAATTAAGTTTTCTTTCCTTTACGACTTTTTTACTGTTTCAACAACGGACAAGATTCGATTTTAAGGGCGAATTTAAATTGATTTCTGAGGCGTTGATAACAGAAAAAAAAAACTCTTCGCGAATTTTATTTCATGACTGGGGCTGTAAAGGATAGAGATCGTTATCCTTATCGCTATAACACGTGCTGTCTTCTTCTGCCTTTTCGAAATCAATAGAGAGGGGACGTCAATAAAGATAGAGAAAATATCTCTATTAATTACAGAGTCCCAGCTTGATTACTTTTCGACTTTCGAATCTAGACTTTTACGTACTGGATTACTGCCTTTTGTTCTCTCTACCTGATTGTTTAAATACGTTTTGATCCCACCATGAAATCGCGTTGACCTAAAATCGACTCAAAACTATTTGTAATTGAAAATGTCGCAATTTCCTTGATTATTCGGGTCAACGGATGTGAAAATAATTCTATCAGAGGATGCCGAACTCGTATAAGCTATAAATAATGTTCTTTATATGAATTTGTCACTTGACTCCTCCAATTTAATTACTTTAGCCCTTGTTTCAATATTTTCACGTTATCTAATTTATGGGTTCATTTTCAGGAGCCTCGCGATGTCATAGAAGTCAATTCTAAGTTTTGTTTCACTCAACCGTTTTATATTTCCATTTCTATTTCTTGATTATAAGATATTGTCACACGCCTCGCTGCTAATGTGGGTAGGACCTCAGGTTAGGGGTTGCTCTTTAGGATAACACACAACTACAAAAAGGAGCTTAACGTAGATTGTTTGCTAGAGAGTAGATAACCAAAGGGGCACTACATAGGTGCGCCACATGATTCTCACGATCGGGGCTCTACGTACATATACGGGGATGAAACTGGTTTCCACACGTATAGGCAGCGATGCCCTGAAGGGCAAGACTCTCTGGGGTAAGGTTACCCTGAAGAGGATCGCTCCAAGACTCTCTGGGGTGAGGCGACCTTGAAGAGAAGTATAGCTACTGCTCCTTTGGGTAAGGAGACTCCGAGCAGGGAAGGACCTAAATGGGTACCGAAACCATGGGCTGCATCGGTTTTTATATCCATTTTGTGTAAACAATAGTTTACGCATTGACCTGCTGAAATTGCTGATTGTCAATGAGTCGTGTTCTAGTCTTAATGGGCTTTTGATATACAGAGTGGTTTTATTTATTCCTCCTGATTAATCTTGATTAAAATAACTCTTGAATACACTTCTCATTGAATTCAGAATATTATGCAGGTACGTTCCTTTACAAAATTGCCAAAAGCAAAACTATTTTCTGTGTTCTTTCCGAAACCTTCTGCTAGCTACTTTATAATGGAGATTCTAATTTGAATTTTGAGTTGATTGCACCTTAATTTACTTTTATTTTTGGAAAAACCTCATTTTGCATTATAAGTCCCTGCCTCATTTTTCTGGATCATTACAACCTGTCTAAGTTACCTAAGGCTGACAAGGTTCGTATTGTCTTTGACTCGCTTTGATAGAAAATTTAGATCGCCAAACTTCCAAAGCGTTCCACAACTTTAACAATTTTTGCTGCTTGAAGAGCTACAGTTCTGCTTTCGTTTTGTTTGTTTGCTGCTTTAACCCAGAAAGATTCTTAAAATTTTTGCCTTGTGAAAAACTCGTGTCCCTTATCGCTACGTGGAATCTTTTAGTCTAAAATTCTACAATAATTTGACGACGTTTAATCAGGATTAGTTGGTTTGAAAACTAGATAAAAGCCACTTTTGCACCAATTCAGTCGATAATAGTGGTCACAAGTGACTGATTATTTTCATGGAATATTTTTATGCCTAATATCACAGCTAACATTTGACCCAACCTCAATTATTATGTTACCTATTAATAAAAAAAATAACCGTGTTACGACAAGACATATTTGTTTTACAGGGAAATAACTAATAAAGTAAATACCGATTATCTGAGTGACTTGAAAATATACATTTGTCCTTCGTTGGTACTTAAAGGAATACTAATCTAGATGAGCTTTCTTGCATAGACTATTTATTACTCAATAGTTGACTTGGGTAGGTTTCCATTTTATTTATTTATTTATTTACTCAACCAGTACACTACAGAATAATAATAAGTTTTCTAAATGGTACTACATGAAAATATGGTTATAAAAATAAGATATTAGCCTATCCAAAACACGTGACTTTGACAAGCAAACAAAGGGTTTGTGTGCCTCTTGGCGGACATTTTAATTTGAGTTTGACAGCACTTTGAATGGTCAGTCTATCCAAAACACGTCACTTTGACAAGCAAACAAAAGGTTTGTGTGCCTCATGTGTGCCTCTTGGCGGACATTTTAATTTAAGTTTGACAGCATCTTGGATAGTCTAATTGGACAAAATCACAGTGAACAACAGTTTGACTAGTAGTACACATAAGCAAATATAAATTAAAATTTAAAGTTTAGACACAACATTTAATCAACAATAAGGAACAATTTGAAAGATCACACTCCCTATAATTTCTGTTGTAATTACAAATAATTGTGTCCACAAATGCTGTGAATCCATAATTTGTTCTGTGCGGGTGCTCATAAAATAGTTGGTTCGTCTAATGGGGACCAAAAATAATATTGATTTCAATTCTGTGCTGTAATCTATTCAATTATTCAGGATTTTGTAAAGAATAATGAGTAGAGCGTGTTTCCGTCTCTGCTCAAGGCTCATCATCTCACACAGCAACAGTTTGGTTTCATAAGGAATTCTAGATCAACAAAAGCGGTGTTTATATAGTAGGTATTTTAGAAACCTGTTTTGGACGTTCTCTAGTCTACTAATATGGATGGTATAATGTGGGGACCAGATGACGGAGCAGTATTCAAGAGTGCTGATTTGATCCATGCTAAATAGTTTCCCGAAATACCAATTTCTGATAGTTTTTTTACAAGAAGGAGGTGGCACACGCTATTAAAAGCCTTGGCTAGATCTATGTAAATGGAGTCGACCTTGTGTCCATATTACGTGGCACAAAACGGACACTGCCAATTTGTTACCCGCAAAACCGATTGAAAGGTAAATAATAAACTTTGAGGGAGTGACTGAAGTGAACGGGTAACTAAGACAAAAAAAAATATAGAAAGAGAGGGTTGGTTGGTGGTTGAAATCTAGTAACGTGATTTCGTGTAAAGGGTTGCCGACTAGCTTCCAATGCGGAGAGGGTTGTGGGTCAATTAAATAACTAAATATAGAGCGCCACCTGCTTTTTCCCTGCAGTACACGAAATCAACCCATATAACGAAAGCAGGAAACTTCTACGGACCTATAGCAGCACAACCTGAAATATAAACGTAAACAAGAAGGAAGGACAAAAGTGAAACGCTTTGCTACAATCAGGTACGGGTTTTAATTAGAACCAGAAATGTGAACCAGGACAGGTTGACTTTAGAGCAGGTTCGGAGTGGGTTTTCCGAACGCTCTGGAACACTGACAAATATTACCACTAGAACCAGAACAAGAAAAGAAATCGTCTAACCATATGTTCTTAAAATAGTATTTATAATAATTGTTAATTACACTCAACTTGAGTCCCTAAATTAAAAAAAAAAAGAGTAATAACAATTTACAGCAATAATACCTGAAATATTAATTAATAAATAAGCTCACTTAATGCAGTACCTTCGTAAATGGCCATTTAACCCCAGTGTACAAGTATTTTCCTGTATTCAGTGCAGCATGTATTTATGGGATATCAGAGAAATATAGATCATTAATTAAACTTGAAGAAACAATAGATAGCCTGAGGGGCAAATTTAATATTATGAAATAATATAGAAGGTATAGATAAATACTTAAAAGTGAAGTACCTAATAGTACATAATGGTAAATTTCATATAACAAAGGTAATAATTAATTGAAACTGAAATAACAACATCTAATCTGAAGGGTAATTTAATATTGTAGTAGAACTGCGTTGTTGTGGTGATTTACTCCAACAAGGGGTTGGTAAGGTTTGATACTAAGACAATACAACACACTTATCAAACCTGAGTAGTCCCTAATCTCTTGGGGAGAACCTGACAGGTGGGATCAATATCTTCCAGTGTTTCCAATGGCCTGGGACTGGATCAGGGCTGCAACAAGAAGCAACCTGGCCCTAGGCACTGAAGTTCAGTAACTAGGAGGCACTAAGGCTTCCCATGGTCTAGAGGAGGCTGAAGATTGTAGGTACTACTTGAAATATACAGTAAGCTGAACGTATAACTCTTTACTGAAAGTCAGGGACTAAAGCGTGACGAATAACAGGTGACATCTAAAGGTAAAGATTAAAGCTTAACTTCTAAAGGTGAAGATTAAAGTGTAACTTCTAAAGGTGATGAATAAAGGCCTGAAACAAATGGACGTTATGAGACAGGGCATGGAGCAATAGGTAGGTATGTCCAATATTCGGAATTTAACCATATAATTAACAGAAAATTATGCTTTTACATAGGCAATAGAGAAACACAGAGAAAACAAATAAGAAAAACGACTTACCAAAATACTTTGGCCTTTAAGAACAAACAATTAGTCACGTTGCTCTTTTTCGACTCACAAAAAAAAATCCGCACAAGGCGATTGGGTGCTAAAATAACGGATTAGCCACCCTAGATCTATGAGCGAAAACCAGACAACTCAGAAAATCGGCAAAATGTGCCTGAGGAATTTTCCCGAACACTTAATCGTGGAAAGTCCTCGACCTGCTTG